TGAAAAAAGAATACAAAAACAAAGTAACTTAAAATAAACATTCATGTGTAAATAAATAAGAAAGAAGAAAAAGAAAAAAAAAAAGGAAAGCATGTACAACAGCTAGCACAGATGCTCACCCACAACAAGAATAGATCAAGGTTGCAAGTGAACCCCTAAACCATTGCAAACATGCTTAAGCTTGGCAACCGACAACGTTAACAACACCATATAATTTCGGAAATAAAAAAAAATGCGAATTTAAGAATGCAAGTTAGTTTAAGTATGACATAGGTAAAACGCACGTATTAAGCGAAGTTGCATTAATAGACTTTAAGGAATCCGATAATGAGAATAAGTGATAAACATTAGTTAGCTTTCTCCAAAAAAATTTGAAGCGCGTTAAACAGCTCATCATTGTATTTACATTGACTAGGCTTAATCAACACAAAGTGCCTAGAGAAGCGGCTAGGGACATTTAAATTTATCTCACCAAGTAATGCGGGTGAGTCATTAGTACCATGTATAACTTTGATTAAAAAGGAAATACCTAGAATAGATGTAAGTTTCTCAAGTGACGGTAAGGATAATAAAAGCAACCCACTTTCAAACACCTTTGCCTTTTTGTAATGCAAGGATCATTAAGCTCTTTGGACCACCTCGTAATGAAAACTAAAAGATTCCATGACACAAAAATTGTCCGCAAATCCAACGAAACTTTTGACTTTCGGTGACACTATATATATAGAGCGAAAGCAAAACAAACTGTTAAAACACATCAGCAGAAAAAAAAGAGACTTTTACCAGGAGCTCTACTTGTTCATTGCACAAAACTAACACGTGAACCATATGTTTTACGGGTAATCTTAAAGGTAAAATTTTGAAATTAATAATCTGTCGAGACCTTGTCAAAACCTGTCTATATGACACTGTGTAAACTTGTGGAAAACACCTTAGACATATTGCATGTGAATTGTAAGAGGTTAATGGATTTTGTTGAAAATCAAGTTAAAAAGTAAGGGTAGATCCTTAAGTTAAATGAAAATGTGTATGACATATTCGATGGAACAGCTGAACGGGCTTGCCTTTATAATTCTCTGCGAGATGTCTTCTGCTTTTGTAAAATGACATAAGAACGCGAAAGCACACTTTCAGGAAAAGACTCGGAGTTTTAAGGACATACGACTAAAGCCGATCAAAAGCTTGCAAGACACTAGCATACTAATATCGTCTAAAGCGAATAACTTTGGAATCGAAATAGTATCTTGAATTTTACGGAGGCTTTGCAAGAGAGTCATCACCATCGTCATTAAAATTGATATTCAAGAATTTTTCAAAAGACTTTTAACCCTTGTGACCCACAAGAGAAACGAATAGCATTGCGGAGGTACCGACAATAAATTACGGAGTTGAGATAATTAAGCCCAGGTCTGTCGATGGAACAGTTGCGGCAATCATACTTACAGCCATTTCTCGTATATTCGCCGAGATGTCTGTTAGTTTTTTTACAAAAATTTGTATAGACACGAACTACGAAAATGGAGGGTTTTCTAATAAAAACGGATGCAGACATCGTTTATCTTCTCATACAATGAGGATGTGAAAACGTCACCGTTGTCGACAAGGAAATTCTCTAAGGTAATTCCGCTACAATGCATGGATAAGTAGAAAATTTACAAATATTTTATGCAGTCTTGACGGCTGGTTTTACGTTAGACTCTAGAAGCGGTTAATGCCATTTGGAGCTTGATTATATTGAAAAAGATCCAAGTCAGAAACTTCTATAACAAACCATTTGGCTCCATCTGATGGCCATCTGATTCTCTTATGAGTTTCTATAATTTGGAATCTTCCGATGCTTCTACAATCACTGAAATTTTTGCAGATATTTTTAGTGAAGCCTACCATGCATCAAATACTCTGTCTGCGAGTGAAAGCTATTCTTATTCAATAAGTACCATGAAATTTTTCCGTCCCTGTGTTACTCTGAACGTGAAATATTTGTATCGTCTGCGACTTCAATACCTTCCCACTTTTCTCGTTCTGATGGAAATCCGTCTGCTGTTCTCCGACGTTCTGCTGAGTTATTATGGTTTGGCTTTACACAGATTTTTAATAGCTGTTTGAAAAAAGGCTGCTTTCCACCGGTTTGGAAGACTTCTTTTATCTTACCAATTTACGAAAGCGGGCCTAGACGATGCATTGAGTATCGCACCCAAACTACCCAAACACTTTGAAGCAGGCACGATTTTTTAAAACATATCATCAACTTCTAATTATCTTACGGAGTTTTGAAGTCCAATTTACAAAGCATTTCCGAAGCACAAACAATCTCATAATACCTTCACGGAGTTTGCCAGAGCTTTCGACAGAGTTGATCATAGTGTGTTAATCTATAAATTACAACACTTTGGTTGTACGAACGGTATGATTGCCTGGTTCAGTAGCTAGCTCTCTGGGCACACCAAACGTGTATTGGTGGTTTCTTGCCAATCCAGAGTAATTGTCGTCACTTCCGGTGTGCTTCAGGGCAGTCATCTTGGTCCGCTTTAATTTATGTTGTACATGAACTACCTTGCTGAGTATATTCAACATTCCGGTGTTTTAATGTTTGCAGGCGACGTTTACATTTTCCTCTCCTTTGGCTCAACACGTAAACTTCTTTAGTCTGATCTTGAGAATCTGTGCTTATGGTATGCAATGTTGTGTAATACGTTGCCCCCCTCATTATCGTATTAACAGTCACAGCCTCGAAAACATTTGCAATTACAAACACTTAGGAGTTGTTTTCGACTCAAAATTTAAATTTGATATTCATACACAAGTTTCAGTCAATAAAGCCCTTTTAGAGTGTGTAAGAAAATGATCTAAAAAATTCAATGAACCATACGTTACTAAGCGTTTGTATACATCTTTAGCTACACCAACCTTTGAATACTCGTTGGAGTCAGTTCAACGGACCTTCTTGTTATTTGCTCTGGTTTAGGATGGGATCCTGCCCTGCCTCTTCCACCGTATAATAACAGATTTAAGCTCATTGACTTGCATACCCTTGACAAAAGTTATGAAATTTTGTGTGAAACCTTCGAATTTGAATTAATAAAAGGAGCTGTATTTCGCCGGCTTTATTGAAACTGATTGATATTCACATGCTTAGTAGTGTTTCAAGACACTGTGTGCTCTTACAGCTGTCACAATGTCGAACCAGTTATGAGTTAGTCAGTCCGTTTCGGGCAAAGTGTAAACCGCTCAATGATCATTACCGCCTACTTGATCGGTCCGACATTTCCGTTAATAAGGTTAAAAACATTATATTGCATAACTAACTCCCAAACCAACAAATTGAATCAAAATATTACTTTAGATTTGATTTTGTTTATTAATGTATATATTATTAATGTATAAATGAACACGCATTCATTCATCAATATGTTATCCCTGTATCTTAACATAGAACTTAGTTGAATGCCGGTGCACATTATATATTGATCTTATCTTTGCTTTTATTTATATTTTTTACTTCTCTATACTATATATTAAGTTATTTTAGCTCATAGCATGTTCTACAGCAGAATTTAATTAACCAATTAATTAAATAAATAAATAAGTAAATAAATACATAAATGTCAGCATGTTCATCATCGATAGTGTCGGAAATATTGCCGAACCCTACAATCGTAACGTTATATTCCCTTCAATGTTGAGTAAGTTGTAATACGTATTTATATATATATATATATATATATATTTATTTTTGTATTGTAGCGATCCAAGAGACTTGCTTCCATATATGGTGAATTCTGCGAAAAGTCTTTCAAAGATTTATATCTATTACAAAGATCTAAGAGCCAAAACAGGGTTAAAAACCTTAGAGAAAGCGTCACGAAGCTACATGGGAACGCTCTGCTTCAGCAAATATCAGTAAAAGCTCCACAAAGCAAGTCTAGATAATTTCAGTCTTCTGTTCTCCACAAATTATGAGTAACGAAGCAGAACCCATGTAAAGACCCTTTTCATATATTTCCTAGACTGCCGGTTTTTTGTTCTTAAGAAATTTAGGTTTTCATTGAGAAACGGGGACTACGGAAAGAGAGGATTTTTCGATCGAAACGGGCCCGAAAAGGGATTCGTTTATTTTGTTGCATAGTAGGCAAAAGAAAATGTCTACATTGTCGATAACGAAATCCAAACTGTGGTCCCGTAGTAGATTTTGAAGCCCTGTTATACTGATTTTTTAAAATCGGTTTTTAAAAGGATAGGAGAGCAATTTAGCAATTCAGAGTTTTATTTATTTTATTTCGCGTGCGTTTTATAACAAAAACATATTTGTAACTCAGGAAAATTTCTACTCCGATGTCCCAGCTCTTAATGTCTTCTTCTGACAGCCAAACAAAATCCAAAGGATGAAGAGTAGATTCGTTTTATCAAAACGTGTGCAACTCTCAGAAAGAAGGATCAGATACTCTACAGAGTATATATATTCTTGATCAGCATCAATTTCTCAATCCATTTAAGCATGCCCGGACGTACGTCTGCGCTATGTCTGTCGTAAACATTCTCCTACTCGCAGAAATGAAACTATCACCTACCAGTTTGCAAGGGAATTTGGAAAGGACCCATAGTTTTCAAAGAACACGTCTACAAAAGTCTCACTTGCCTAAAAAAAAACTTTGAACACTTTTGCTGCCTCGGTTTTTTGTTTCGTACCCACAATCATTTAAATTTCCACTTTCATTCTTGAAATAGAAAAAACCGGCCACGCCCGCCGAATATTATGAAATATGAAAATGTAGTTCACCATTATCAAGATCCCTAAGATATATACATTTTTTTGTTTCAGCTCTGATTTTTTCAAAGTCCCAAAAAATTCCGGTTCCTTTCCTGTTTTTCAAAATTTTTCCAAGTCAAAAGAAGGAAAATTTCAAACACGTTTCTTTTATTTGTTTACGTTTATTTTATTCATATTATAACTGTTAAAATAAAAATAAATGGGTTTTCCTGCAAGGAGAGGTGAAAAGAGATCAGACTTTGATAATATCGCCTGGAACTTCCACGCACACAACTTCAGGTCTTAAGCGATTTTCTTCGTCGTAAGCTCGAAAAAATGTCACAAACTTGTATCGTCCTTCCATGTTAACAAGCGCCTCTACATCGACTTTAACTGTAAAAGGATTGTGACGATATTTTACCTAAATTTAGTAAATTGTTTAGAAAAGCTTAAAGCAATCTGAAGAACGCAACACATACACCCTTTTCATAGCATTGAAGGTCCTCCGGAAAAAGGTGTCCCGACCATACCTCGTAGACGTACGAGCGATTATTTTTCATTTCTTTACAAAAGTCCAGTACGCGTACCGAAAATGGGGTTTGTGTCCAACCGCCGCGAAAAAATTTTTGCAGCTCCGCATCCATCTGAAAAATTTTTAGATACAAAAATTTTTTACTCTCTAACTAATCCGACTGCAGAATTTTTGTGAAAGACTAACATAATGCTTTTCTATGGTTTTGAAGCATACATGACTACGTCTATGCTATAATTCCCTAATGTAGAAATTTAGGCAAATGCAATAGCAGAAGAGCTTTTTTTATTTAATTATTTACCATCATTCGATCAGTCTTCTTTACGTCCCAATTAACAGTACCAGTCCCGCCAAAATGTATTCCTTCATCATCGTAATAAACACTCCATTCACTTGGATCTATAAAATGATCCATACCGACCGTTCCTGGTTTATCGGTGCAATCAACGAATATTTCAGGATATTCTGGTACGAATCGATAAGTAGCGGCTTGCAGTTCAAACCCCAATGTAAGTACAATTATTATAACTAAACCGTTCAAAAAATTCATTGCGCTGTCTTTAAATCACAAAATCCTACTGGCAAATTTTACCCCGAGCGTAGGTCTATTTATCATCTAGGGTTATGAAATTTTTCATTTTAAGCAAGTATGGTATAATTGACACTGTAATATCTGCCTATCGTGTGCATAAATAGAAATATACAAAAAACAATTAAAAATATTATGTAGATATATCTATATATATTATAGTCAATTTTAATTATTCATTACTATAAATTAATTGCCGCGATAATACACCAATAATTGTTGTTCTTGCTTCCATCTAAAGATGTATTTTTAGCAAAGTTATTACATTGGAATGTGAACTGGAGTGATTTAATTTCTTTGTTGGAAATTGTAATAATCTGCATACATCCAAGCAAACTTGATATACCCTGTATGGTATGAAAATCAGATATGATGTAAGGTTTTATCTCCATCTATTGTTGGTGTACGAGCACAAAAATTATTCAGAAATGAATAGGAACATTATAGGCAAATAATATAAATACCTTAGCGATGTCGCAATTCAAAGAAATGTGTAGAAAAAGTATCTGGAATATTTGCGTCGCAGTATTGACTTGCATAAAACTTACTTCTTTAAGGCAGAGAATCGTGTGTATAACCTAAAGTTTATTTACCGCCGTAGATAGTATTTCAATAGAGATCTTTTTAATATCACCAACCACCACTATTATTATTTTAATTTATTTGGGCCAAAGAAATAAGAGCACTAGCAATCAACACTGTCTGCTCTCCTTTTTGTAAACGATAGACTAGTTTGGTTAGTTTAGTCGTTTTAATAAAACAAAATGTTTCATTGATATTACGTACTTTCAAGATGTCCCTAGGGTTACACGCTCTGAAAATAAGTTTTCGAATATCACTGTATCGTGGGCTAATGGAGAGCCCAAAAAACGTAATCAAGGTACTGCTGCTGTGAATCAGTTGATTAATTGCACTGCAGCAAACAGTAATGAATCGTGGACTCATGGAGAACCCAAAAAGAAAACCTCGAAATATTGCTGTCTACTTTTTTTAAAGGCTACGCTCAAACTAGGTTGATTCAGCTTGATTTCATATGTTATCCTTCAGCAACAAGCTAACAAAAGAAGGATCAGACAAAATTAATTACTAAAGATCATTTGCGCTGATAAACAACTTAAACTTTATCGAAGATGAAAAATTAGAATTATCTTAAAGTAAACAAGAGCTATTCTAAAAAACTATGTTTTTACTAAAAAACTATGTTTAATTGTTGCAATATCCAACGCAAAGTATGTCATCCAAAAATGCAATCTGAACAAATCAAAGAAAAGATGACACACTTTGGATTAAACTGCAGAAAGTAGTTAATGACTATGGGTAGTAATTAGCGAACTGCATGAACAAGCAGACAAACACGTAAAATCGTCAAGTATGCTAACATTCTTTAATATATTGGAATAAAACGAAAATATGAAATTTAAATATAAATATAGTAAGACATGAATACAGAAAATTTAAGTTTGATAGAATATATATTAAATCTAAACACAAAGCGACATTCGCAAAGTCAACGATCAACCAGCGCTAGGAAACTTTTGGTTGTAAATTTTTGGGTAAGTACCATTGCTTTCAAGAGATCACGGAAGGAAGCTCACAGCAAAACGTGATCAAAATGAACGAAAGTAATACGCGGCTTTTCAAATTGCTTACGCTCCTGGGCCAACTTACAACGACCAAATAAACTAAGTAAACGTGCAAATTATTAGTGCAATTATAAATCGAGTAGCATTCTTCAGAGAAATAGGCACAAGACATGACAACCGATTAACGTTAAATATACAGTCGATTGCACTTTTCAGTTATGCTGAAGATGTATTAAGGTTGTGTGGACGTATATAACGCCAAGAGCGGCTTAAAGTAGACCCATTTTTTTGCAAACGAACCATTCAACATCACTGCAATCATTCTCCAATTTGGGTTAGACATATTTATCTCTGTGTATTTATTACCAGCATAAGAACGCTTACTGAAAATGGGCAAAGAACGTTCAAGATTTCAATTTAAGTTTAAGAAATTGTTTTGTAAACGCCACAAGATATTATGTACAGCCACAAAAGAGGGACTAGGATAATATTTATTTTCGACCTCTCAATTAACTTAAATGAAACCTTATTACAAATTTTTTTTACATAATTCACTTCAACGTTTTTTAGTGTATTAGCAACCCTTTTATTTGATACCCACATCGACAGGCTGATAAGAAAAACTTAGACGGCCACGCGGTGGCGCCCGTTATATTTAATTGAAAATTAATAAATTTAGCTTCTTGTATTCCCCTCCCTAATTCTTTTTATTTTAAACACCATATAATATGTTGAATATGTAGAAAATTTGAATATACAACATTGCATCGTCATTTTAATTAAAGACATACGCAAAGGTTCATCAAGATCAGATAACTGAAAGCGCCCGATATATCAATTTCAAGTCATTCTGGGAAAAAAGCAAGTTAGACAAAAGCTTGTACAAAAGACAGTAAGCTTTGTTTTAATTACTAGCATCCATGTAGTTCTTTCTTACAAAGAGGCAGTGACATCTCTGAAATCTCATTTAAACCAATATTTTACTTTTATAGTGTTTTATTCAATATTTTACGTATGATAAGATCATCTTAAGGATTAATCTTAATGGTACGGGGTATCATGTTCGAAGTGCCATCACCTGACTTTACCATCATATTTTTCTTGATTGGCAAGGTCAATCTGGTTGGTTAAATTTAGAGGAAGAACATTTAATGTTGTGACTTCACTGTGTAAATTAAAATTGAAAGAATCGGAAACTTGCTTTGATTCTTCTCACTAGTTTTTCATCGGCGTAAATATTTTCGTGTGATTGTCAAGCAAAAACTCCCTAAAAATATCTAAGCGCTTTCAGACGATGTAAAGGAAAAGTTTGCTAATGTCGACACAACTGCTCTGATGATTATTATCAATCATATCAGGAACGGTGCGAGCTAAAGTACGAGGCGCATTTCAGTTATAACCCCTCATTTTCTTCGTGCAATGAGTAAATATTGCTAGGTCAAATAAACATTCCTGAAATTTATATACAACATGAAAAAGGAGAGTTTGGCTGGTCAGCTCTTTGTAAAGTTTTGCTATCGTCAGCTTTGTTTGTGGCCGACGGACCAGATTTACTGCAGTGACATATATAGAAACTTTTGATAGTTAACAAATACTGCTAACTTGTTATTAATTTAACTTTACGCTGGATCAATCGACTTTATTTGCGGGAGTAGCAGGTCAGAATGGAAAAAAAATTCATATTTACGAGAAGCTATGGCAGAAGGGTTATAACAATTGTGCAATTATGTTATTTGTTCAACATTTTGTAACTATGCACTTACATTCAGCAAACAACATTCGCATTTAGTCCAAAACGGGTTCACTTATAGAATGGAGAACCAATAAAGTATGAAATAATTTTAGTAAGTTTCTCTGCACTTATTCGATTTTAGTCAAAATATATTCCAATTCGATTGGAGTCCAAATTAGTTTTGGAGTCATTGTCGGTATTCCAACCGAACTGAACCTTTCCGCAATATTGAGGTAAAATAAAAAAGGAATGTGTCTGTCCTCTACCTTATTCAGCTATTTTTTTCTATTATGGGAAGAAAACGACCAAGAGAATGTACTAAACCATAATCGTCCGTTTCCATGGGGTAATGTAAAGTTTTCTTATTTTGGCTCATATGTGTGAGTGTCTTACGATAAGGAACTGTGAGTTTGGAAACCTCTTTTTAATAAAATACTCTGCTTTCCCAACACGACCAAGCTTGTAGACTCTACCGCCGATTTGTAAACAACTTATCTTAATCAAATCGTAGCAAGTTTCTTAAGCCAAAAACATTAAGAAGCTTGTTATTTGCTAAATTTGAGTCATATACTTTAGGAGAAGTTTCTAAGCGCTAAGCTAAAACCAGCAGCAGTACGCTAGAAATATCCCAACGAAAAAGTATTGCTCTGGAGGAAGTGGCATCTTACTTCGAATCTGAAAGCAAAATATTTTATCGAGCTTACTCTCATATGTAAATTCGTAAAAATAAATCTTTCAATTTACTAGAGAAATTTAAAAAAATTGCACTATTCTTTATGCAGCCATATGAACTCTATCCCTTACGTATGAAAACGCACTTGGGATTTCTGGCAACAAAAATTGACCTGAAAACTATGTTCCAAGCAGTGCAATGATAACATCATTAAAAGGATTCAACATTTATTGATGAATTGTAAGCGAATTAAGAGAATGAATAAACAAAGTGAAAACTTCTGAAAAGTCGAATTATTCTTTAAACATTCAAAGAAAACATAAAATTCATGTGGGTCAGAGTCATGAGAGCGTCATGTGAGTCAGAGTCATGGGAGTGGTGCCGCTGAGCATACTACAGCGCCCAAGAAATGGGGTAAAGCCGCCACAGCAGTTATAAGGTGGGAATTTAAAATTCCCTGCAATGTTTAGCCTGCTGATCAGCATCAAATTGCTTATTAACTTCATTGTTATAAATGAAAAATCTTCTCAATTGTTGCGCAGAAGCGAAGATTTTTCATTAATTTCAATAAAAAGCAGAACTACTTTGCAGATACAAAACACAAATCGAATAAAATGGAATGGTCTTGGCGCGAACTAAAGTGCGAGTCGCATTTGAGCATTTTTTTGGGCATAGAAGAAATATTTCTGAAATTCTAATGCAACGTGAAAAGAAGAGAGGTTTATACACAAAGATTTTAATGTTTGGAATGTTCTGTTTTCATCGTCTTATTCGCATTACTACTAAAAACTACTAAATTGTGCTATTGATTTAACTTAACGCTCGATCGATGGAATTTATTTGTTGGAGTAGCATGTTAGAATTGAATAGAAACTTATATATACTAAAAGTTATTGCTTCGCCGGACCACAATTATAAGATATAAGAATTGAGTCCTTATGCAATCGTCTAACTTGAACATTATGTAGGTGCT